TGGGCTTGGTACATTCCCAGACGTTTCGCCGGCATCCTAGACAGCGAGTGAGTCTTGCCAACATCAGCACCAAACTATAACACATCAAAGGTACAGGTGGTCGGTCCTATGACCAACTTTGCCGAAACGCTTGTGCTGGCCCCTATCCTCTTGTCTGACTCTCAATCTATCTCAACTACTGACTTGTTTATAGTCCACTCCTCAGATGTGCCCTTTTGGCATCAAACCTGCTGTTTGTCTTGATCCCTTTCTTCTCTGGTGGCTTATGCGAGCAAGGCCTCCTATCCGGATCTGCCTCATGGGCCCGTAGGTATGTTTCTTATCTTTATGGTTGGCCGATTTCACTCGGTTCCAACCCCTGGATATATTTACTCTGGATACTCCTCCTCAAGCCTTCGGCAGGATGTACAATGTCGCATCATCTGCAGACCGCCTAGTCTCTGATTATCATGCTTGTAGGTATCAAGTATTCTCTTCACCGATCATCCTAATTAACTATCTGTACCCTGAGCAAACTGTTCACTTCAATACATGATCGCCTGCTACCTTTTGAGTGGATTTATAGTCAATTTGGCTAAAGCCGAATTTCTGTGACCGTTGTGATTATCAGTCTATCTAGTCATGTGACCATAAAGCTCCCAAATTTGTAGTTGTTTCTCCGAGCCGACTACACTCACTGAGAGCGTCTTCGCTTTATTTCCGAAACTTACTCTCTTCTTCCTTGCGATCCATTTCCCTCTGGTTTGTGATAAATCCTCGATCACAGCGTCTCCTTTTTGCTTGTTTTGTAATAGCCTTGTTTCCTCCGAGTTTATTAGGCAATAGGCAAAGTTATCACTATATCTACCTTCTTCCAATCTCCAGTTTATTGCATTTTCCCCCATGGATGTCAATGGCCTCCATAATCTTCCGTTTATTTTTGTTTTCACTGTATGAGGACCTTCTTTCTGCTGCCTTCCAATTGATCTCGTGCCCAGTCTCTGCTATGTGTTCCGCTAATTCGGATCTTTCGGTATCCATTCTCCTGCAAAGCCCTTGATGTTCCTTTGTCCGTGTGCTATTTTTTCTGCTAGTTTCGCCAATATATTTCTGTTCGCAGGCGCCGCATGCTATGTAGTGAACTCCTGAACAAACCAATTTGTCCATTGTTGCGTGGATAGACTTGTAAAAAGTGATGTTTTTTCCTTCGTGGTCACCTGCATATCCAATTTTCTTAATATTGGCCGTAGTCCTTGAGCTAGTTCGAGAAAAAGAGGCATGTCCACTTTTGTGAGTCTCCATCTTTAACTTTCTTTCATAATCTCCATCCTGGCATCGGCTTTTCACGGCCAGTATGTTTTTTTTCTATTACTTCTTCCAGGTATCCGTTGCCGAGGGATGTCTGAGTCAACCTTTCCTAATCTACATCCCAGAATTCCACGTCCATTAATCGTAGGCCTCTGATGATCATGCTCCTCAGTATGCCTATCTTCATTCTGTAGTTGTGATGAGACTCAAAATTGAGTATTATTTCGGAATAATTTCATCTAGTGTCCCGTCAGAGCGAATTACTTTAATATCCAAAAAAGGTAAAATGCATTTCGCCTCCTTATGTCCTATTATTTGGGCCCTAACCAAAGAGATTGTTCCGATAGCTTACTTTATCGGAACTATTATTACAAGGCATATATGAACAGAAAGGATGGAAATTTGCCGAATAATATAGATCAAGCAAAAGAATACCAAATGACTTGGAGAATAAGGATCATGAGAAACAAACAAGGTGTGAAGGAATACAAATAAGGTTGGTTGACTTATTTGTGTTTAGTCAATGTGAGACTTCGACTCAGTGGAAATCGAGTTGATGGAGTGCAAGAGTAGCTGCTCTCGAAATTCCAACCACTTTGTCAAACCGTCACGCATCTGGGCTTCGAGATGGGAGCGGAGTCTGGCTATATGCTGGCTTCTGTCTGCTTCAACGAATGCGGCAGTCTGCTTGCCCACCAGGCTAATAATCCCTGGAGATAAGTTCTGCTGGCTACAACGAACAGACTGCAGCAGTCGATTGGCCAGCTTCATGGCCAGATGATTGGTTCGCCGAACAATCATTTCCTCATCCAGGCTATTCAACCAGCTTCTCGGAGTGTCATTGACATATTTCGGCTTCGTTGCTAAATGGACAAAATTAGACGATGTCGATGATGCCTTGACACAAGTGGTTGATACGAATAGAGGTTCTTCTGTTAGTGCATACAAAAGAAGATTGAGGAAGTAGGAGGGCCCAGTGGAGTCAAAACAAACCGAGGACCAAAAACAGTCTTTATCCTCAAAACCCACTTGTTTGGCTGGCTCCTTCGAATCGGGCAATATTTGCATTGTTATACAGCTTTCACTGTCAGTACCAGGATTGGATAAGTCTAGTTGTTCGAGCATCCAAGAGAGGCGGGCTATTTTTGCAGAGCCGTTGGGCAAGCTAACAGCGAAATGAGCTAATTCATAGTAGCTCGGGTACGCGGCGTCGTGAGGGTTGACATCACAAGACAAACTGAAACCGTATTCAGTGTAAAGACTCAAGTTGTCCAATGAGCCGTAGTTGATAAATATCTAAGAGCAGGTCAAGAAGGTAGATAGTAAAAGATCAAGGAAGGAACGAGAAAAAAATCGAAGAAATATTAACTTTGTGTCCCCACTGATTATCGCCGGTGCATATGCAAATACTAGATTATCTCTATTTAGTCTGAGAAGTTGAATAAAAGATATGTACCATCTAAGGACTAGGAACAGTCTCTTGGGATGATTTTCAAAATTGGACGGTAAATTTGATAGCAAATATCTATTTAACCTGGATGTGGGGTGCATATCCTTTTCAAAAATTAACGATTAAATAAGCGTTTTATTTTAAAATATCTAAGAAACTGCGTCCTTTATTGTGATAGGGTACAATGAATAACGGAGTCCTAGGTGCCTGTCTCTTCAGTTTCGACTATCCCACCAGGGCTCTTGCTTTTTTCAAACTTCCCTTATTCATAATGAGGTTATAGGGATCAGGACGATATAACTTGACAACCGACTCCCTTCCT